GCCCCGGAAGTAAAGCGCCGCCGCCGCGGCCCCGCCCTCCGACCCGGAATGTAAACGCGGGCGCCCGAGCCGCGCAGCGGCAGCCGGAGACCCCTGTGGATCGGCATCGCTCTCCCTGACTCACCGAGCGCCTCTGGAGCAAGAGGATGTGGTGTGTACCGGTCAGGCCGGGCCCCCGACCTCTTGGGGCTCACACCTCTGTCAGGTGCCAGAAACTTAACAAGATCACGAGTGATAAGACAACATCGTGCCAGAGAGAGATAAGGGCTAAGACGGGAAGAAGAAAACAAGTAATGGGCCAGAGTTTGGGAGCGGGAAGCATGGGCGACTTTTTGAGCCAAGACCTGGGTGATGAGAGGGAGCAGGCCCGGAAGATCCGCAGCAAAGGCATTCCAGAAGGAACAGCAAGTGCAAAGGCCCTGCGTGGAGTGGCTGACTGGACCCAGAGGTGTGTGGGAGACGGTGGTGACAGGAGGCTGAAGAGGCAGGGCCAGGCCCTGAGGGCCTTTCAGGAAGTGGTAAGAAGCTTGGACCTCTCTTACTAACTCCAGTGGGAAGTCACTGCAAGAATTTAAGAAGAGGAGTGACACTATCTGAGGTGTTAAGACGCTGGCTCTTCCTGTGATGAGAATGAATTGCAGTGGGACAGGGTGGAGAAGAGACAGCTGGTTAGGGAGCTATTGCAATTGTCCATGCAAGGCAAGAGATAATAGTGCCGGGGCTAGGGTGTGGCAGTGGAGATGAAGGTGAATGGATTGAGTATAAACACATATGTTATATGTTCACAGCAACCCTATGAAGTCCAGGTTATTGCCCCATTTTACAGACTCAAGAAGGGGGACCCAGAAAGGCTAAAGGAGTATTTTCCCAACTTATTTTGCCCACAACCCAGAGTAAAAACATACATTTGACATCACAACCCAGTGTTGTTATTATTAGGTGCTGTCGAGTTGGTTCCAACTCTTAGCAATCCTACAGGACAGAGTAGAACTGTCCCATAGGGGTGAGTGGCTGGTGGATTTGAACTGCCTGACCTTTTGGTTAGCAGGCAAGCTTTTAACCACTGTGCCACCAGGGCTCCATGCATACATATAAATAGAAGTTTAACAAAACAATTCTGTATGTAATGGATCCTCTTCTATTTTCTTCCTTTTTTTTTTTTTTTTAATATTGATCGATTGTTCCACTTACAAGTCTTGATCCACCGTTGAAAACACTGAATTGAGGACCAAGCCCCACCAGGAAATGGAGCCAGAATCCCAGGCCAGCTCTGCGTTACTCCACAGCCGCATACTCTTTTTGCTACCTTGCCTCTCACCAGGTGATCTCCACCCCCGGGAATTTATCTTTAAGGAAACGACTCAGTAACAGCCAAGAGCTCTTTGGAGAAGAATGTGCTGCGGCATTACTTACAGTAATGAAAAAGTGGAAAGCATCCAAATCCTGACCACAAAAGAACAAGGAAGGAAATCTTGGCCCATCACATAGGAATCTCTTGCAGTTGTTGAAAATGCTAACTAAAAGACTACTGTGGAGGCATGGGGAAATTCCAGTGATGATGCATTAAAAACGCCCTAGGCAAAATGGTCTGTACACCATGATTACAATTGTGTCAAAATATGGCAAATGAAAAAAAAATTACTGTATTTTATCTGTTTGAAAACAATAGCATATCCAATCTAACAATGTATATAAATACACCCTGAAGATTGTAAACATTGTAAATTAAAAAAAAAAAAAAATAGGGCAAATGAGAAAACTTGTGTTAGGGTGGTGAGATTGTTCTTCCTTTTTTCAAAATTATAAAGTTGTTATTAATTTGTCATTCCAGGTAAACAGTAGGTGTGTCTGAATCCTCCCCCAAATAGCCTAGTTTACATCTCGCTACCCCCGTGACCTTTGGCAGGGCACAGCGTACCTGCTTCATGGAGTTGTCGTGAGGATCATGTGTTGTACCTTCTCATAGCACCCTGTACCTTTTCTTCATAGCACTTCAGGCAGGATAGTTTATTGAAATAGTAATTTGTGTTTGTTCTTCTTACATTTTCTACCACCAGCCACCCGCTTTAAAGGTAATTCCTTCTTCCTGGGATTTTAACCTGGAAGACCAAGAATCAAAAGCCTAAAGTCAACAGGTCTTCTCGGCTTTTGAAATATCTAAACTCATTGGGGAGGAGCCCTGGTAGCTCAATGGTTAAGCGCTCGGCTGCTAACGGAAAAGTTGGCAGTTTGTACCCACCCAGCTGCTCCCCAGGAGAAAGACCCAGCAATCTGCTCCCATGAAGATTATAGCCTAGAAAACCGTATGGGGCAGGTCTGCTCTGTCACATGGGGTCGCTATGAGTCAAAAATCGACTCAACAGCACCCAACCACAACAAATTCATTGAGGAGATTGTGCTAGGAGGTGAGGGTGGGAGGAGAAGGAGGGCCTGTGAGAAGCTACGGACAACTTTCTGAGGCCATGTAACAGGAAAGGTGTGTGTGCTTACCCTCAGAGAAAGACCAGAGCTCCAAGGGACTGATAACAGTGGTAACAGTAATAGCAACTAACAACAGTGCTTAGGAACCAGACAGGTTTTGAAACCACCTATGTGTATTAATTCCTGTAAGGTTGCTATGAGTCGGCGCTGACTGGACAGCAACTAACAACCATCCTTGAAACAACCATATGAATAGTCAACCAAGATCTGCAGCTTCCTAGTAACAGAGCCAGGATTCAAACCCAGGCAGTCTGCCTCCAAGAGCTAGTCCCTTAACCACTATACTATATTGTCTCCTGAAGGGTCTTGAATGGAGTCAAACAAGCAAAAAGTTCCCACCGATGTTCTCCATATCCCAAACCTAGCAGGAAAGTCACAGAGCCCCAAGATCTTGAGGATCTGTGCCATGGTGTCCGTGGGCATCTTAATAATGACCAAAGTTAAATGACCAGAGGGCATCCCCTGTTGCCTTGCCTTTTCATAAGACCCCAGGGAGGAAACCCTCCCCAGCAATGACTAAGATTATAACCCAAAGAAATGGGGGACTCAGGAATGGAATTAAATTGATATGAAGAGGAAAAAGGAATAGATCAGCCTATCTGGGTTTAAATCCTAGCTCTGCCACTTGCTGGCTATGTTACCTTGCTCTACCTCATGTTCTGTCATCATTTGTAAAATGAGTATAATAATAGTTCACCAACCTTTTAGTTTGTTGTGTGCATTAAATCAGCTAGTGCATGTAGGCTCTTAGAACAGTGCCTGGCACGTTTTAAAAAAAAACCAAACTCGTTGCCATCGAGTCAATTCCAACTCACAATGACCATATAGGACAAGGTAGAACTGCCCCATACTGTTTGCAAGGAGCAGTTGGTGGATTCGAACTGCCGACCTTTTGGTTAGCAGCCGGGCTCTTAACCACTGCACCTCCAGGACTCCGTATAAGTGTTAGCTATGATTACGATTACACATCTGCATTTGGGTCTGAAAACAGTACCTAGTACGTCTTTATCACAGTTTGCAATTCGACATTTATTTGGAAGCTCAAAGGGTCAGGAACCACTCGTGCATGCACACTGAATTAGTGTGGCTGACTGAGCGTCTGTGTATACATCAGTACACAGGATAACCTTGCTTTCCTTTAACAATAAAGAGAAAAATCCAATCTGCCCTGAGATGTATATGTGCCTGTACAGGAGAAAAGTGGTGTAGCCACAGAAACGGGTGACTCGGATCTACACAATGCAGTAATTTTTTTAGCAAGTCAGGAATTTAATCAAGAAACCAAGGACGTGTCCACAGTTAAACACTCCAACAATAAAGTAGAGAAATATGTCTGACATAAAGAGTTTCCAGAATGAGAGACCGAGAAGCTATGTCCACAACTGATAACTATAGTCATCCTAAAGAGATCTGCTGCATCAGCCTTTCCTTCTGACATCTCTACACCAGTCAAAATGGTTAATTATCTCATAGAAATTCATTTCTGTATCCCTGTGCACTTGCCGAATTCCTGGGTGGTGCAAATGATTAACGCACTCGGCAGCTAACCGAAAGTTTGGAGGTTCATGCCCACCGAGAGGGGTCTCAAAAGAAGGGCCCAGCGATCTACTTCTGAAAGGTCACAGCCATTGAAAACCCTATGGAGCACCATTCTGCTCTGACCCACGTGGGGTCGGGGTTGACTATGGCAACTGGTGGTGGTGGTGGATGACACTTGCAGCACCTGGCAGGCTATTGCTGTGGTCACTTGTTTTTGTGGTGACAAGAATAGCTGCGCCTTCCTCCATGGTTGGCAGGGGGAAGAAATGGTCAGAATCGACCTTTGGTTTGCTCTTGACACAGTCTTCACAGGTGCATTCTTCTATGGTGTACCCCAGGCTTCTCGGAAGGACAATTTCAACACTAGGCTTGCTGTTGTCCAGGTCAACGTTAGCCACATCCTGGAGAGCTGGTCCTGATTATGCAAAAACAGAAGCATTAACCTGTGCTTCCCAGGGAGTGTGGTCATGACAGTCTTAGCGGTACACAGGACTCAAAAGCAATGCAAGACAGATGTTTTCATACGAGAAGAATGAGTGTGTGCTGCACTAGAAGTCACCAGCTCACTGACTACAGGCCACATTTTGTTTGAAGACATTCATGGTTTGGGTCATACAGTGCTCTTAAGTGTTTTGGTTTTATTTTTAATGTCCGTCCACATTTAAAACTCAAGAGATTTTACATGCAAATCTAGACAACAAAATGTGGCAACATGAAGCCAGCATCCCTACATGGAAACCCTCAGCTGAAGCTGGTAGCAGCTGTCACCTTCAGGCGGGGCGTGTCTCCTCTACTCCTGAAGACTCCACCTAGCCCACTGCTCATTTGTTACCCACTTGGCCCTTGCAGGCATTTGAGCTTTTGAGCCTATCTTACACTCTTGAAAATGACAGAAATTACCATATGTCACAGCACTGAAAATCAGCCTGTGGGCAAAAGTAAACATGCTTCTCTTACAGAGCATTTTGCAGCAGATGAAAATTTTTTTTAATGAATCTCTTGTGATCACATAAAGAAGGAGTCTCCACTATATCCACCATTATACACCTGTGAAGATCAATTTTACTACTTTCTAGACATTGTGCAGTATAATTCCATCTTCTAAAAAATCGCACTTAAAGCCACTCCCCACCTGTCTGTCAGACCCCAGGCAAGGCAAGAAAAATGAGTAAATGTGGTAAATGCAGAACAGCCATGTACCTCTCCCTGTTGCATTAGAAAGCAACTGAGGTGTATATTTTACACATTATACATGGAGAATAAATACATAAGGAAATAGGGCAATGGCTAGTTAAGTGTTTGCAATCAGAGCACAGGCTGCAGAAATATTTTTATCTTAAGAAGCCCTTAAGTAGAACGTTCGTTTCTCTGGGACTAGGTCTCCACTGCCTAATCAAGGCAATTATATTTGAGATGATTGTTCAAATCATCCAGGAACAACTGGTGATTCATTTCTAGCATTTTTCACTGCTAAGCTGTTCACCCAAAGAAACGACACTTAAATCTGTGTTTAAAACACGGCCACGAATCATGCCAAATATACTGTTCCTGATGGGAGCGGCCCGGCTAACAGTTTCTGATAACATGGTACTTAATCAATGCGCTGATTTTAGTCAAAGACCCGGCTATTTCCTGAGGAAGCCTGGGTACTTTAATAGAGTAATTATCAAAGAAAGAATTTGGGGGAAGGCTGACATTGTAGGACACCTGCAGAGGAGTTATCAAGACCAGAATGAAGACAGCTCACTTCTACCAGTAAGTTCATTTAACACAACTGTCCTCTAACTCACTTTAAAGGGCTCTAACTGAGTGAAATACTCGATGTTAAAAAGAACTGAAACTCACAATGGCCACCCCTTGGAAACAGACTTCAAATATTCATCATCAAACCAACCTGTGTTTTTACATTTGTCCTTTAATAGTTCACCACTCATCTTCTTTAGCAAGAACATTAGCACGAAAACGGCCAAAGAAACTATCAAGCACAGGCCCAGACAGGTCCAGAGAATCACATTTGCTCCTTTCGCTGAATTAGTCATACCTTTATCAAAAGAACGTCAGATAACAGTATTCACAGCAGTTATAGATCATTTGTCATGCAGTTCCCCTAGTTGATCAGCATTGGCTTTTAAATTCTAAATAACAGTTAGGAGAGCTGATAAAAATCTATGTTGCTAGCAGTGCTGAATAAAAGTGAGTTCAGTTCTGAATAATTACTTTGTTCCTGTAGGCATTTAAATTACTGCCTTTTTTCCTTTCTTTTTTGATTCAGAAAAATCTCACCATCTTCCCTGCAACGTTTATTCTTTGGATAAATACGATAGTCACTATAGAAAGAATACTTCATAGAAATGAAAAATTGTTCAAGAAATACTACTTACTTGCATTACAATAACGCTGACAGCTTAGAGGAGGGGTATTAGAGCATCGAAGGTGGCAAGGTTTGCAAGTATGAAGCAAACCATCAAAATACTCATTTTGGAAGCACCGCTGAGCCATCTTGAACTTGATCACAAAAAGAAACAAGGGAACCATGCAAAGAACAGCATGGAAGGACAAGTAAAATCTCATCAAGAATCCCCTAGCAAATGATGTGACAGCAGCTAGACAATCGAAGAAAAAAAACAAAAAAACTTCACGTGGCTAACTGGGTTCTTACACGGGTTGTCGGCCTTGAGCTGTGGCTAAGGATTTGAATACCAACTCTAATTCAAGTTTCTAAGTTTGAGGCCTGGGTAAGGTAAAAGGTGGGTGTAAATATCAAAGGCAAACTATACCTGAAACAGAAACTTCCTATTTATAGAGGAAATTTCTCACGCAGGTGACAGTTGCAAGATATAGACAAGCCTGGGGCATTGAGCAGAAAGTTCAATAATCATTTATGGAGCTCCTGTTATGAGAGGTGTGATGGGCCCCAGGGAGAGAGATAAGGCAAGGTCTATGCCCCTTAGAGAACTTTAATAAGAACTACACCCAGATAACCACAAATGATGACAAACATTAATCCACACATCCAAGAAGCTCAAGAAACTCCAAGCAGGACAAACTCAAAGAGCTCTGAACCTACACACATCATAGTCAAACTGATGAAAGTCCAAGACAAGGATAAAATCCTGAATCTTGAAAGTCTTTTTTAATTTATTTAATTATTGTACTTTAGATGAAGGTTTACAGAACAAACTAGCTTCTCATTAAACAATTAGTATATATAGTTTCGTGACATTGGTTACCAATCCCATGACATGTCAACACTCTACCTTCTCGCCCTTGAGTTCCCTATTACCAGCTTTCCTGTCCCCTCCTGCCTTCTAATCCTTGCCCCTGGGCTGGTGTGCTGCTTTAGACTTATTTTGTTTTATGGGCCTGTCTAATTTTTGGCTGAAGGGTAAACCTCAGGAGTGACTTCATTACTGAGCTGTAAGGGTGTCCAGGGTCCATATTCTCAGGGGTTCTCCGGTTTCTGTCAGACCAGTAAGTCTGGTCTTATTTTTTTTTTATTTATTTATTTTTTGGTGAGTTAGAATTTTATTCTACATTTTTCTCCAGCTCTGTCTGGGACCCTCTATTGTGAATCCCTGTCAGAGCAGTCGGTGGTAGTGGCGGGACACCATCTAGTTGTGTTGGACTCAGTCTGGTAGAGGCCATGGTAGTTGTGGTCCATCAGTCTTTCGGACTAATCTTTCCCTTGTGTCTTTGATTTTCTTCATTCTGCCTTGCTGCAGATGGGGTGAGACCAATGGAATATCTTAGATGATGGCTTACAAGCTTCCCCCTCCCCTTTTTTAAAATTGTACTTTAGGTGAAGGTTTACAGAACAAACTAGCTTCTCATTAAACAGTACACGATATTGTTTTATGATGTTGGTTAACAACTCCACGACATGTCAACACTCTCCCTTCTCAGCCTTGGGTTCCCTATTACCAGCTTTCATGTCCTCTCCTACCTTCTCGTCCTTGCCTCCGGGCTGGTGTGCCCCTTTAGTCTCCTTTTGTTTCATGGGCCTGTCTAATCTTTGGCTGAAGGGTGAACCTCAGGAGTGAGTTCATTACTGAGCTCAAAGGGTGTCCGGGGGCCATACTCTGGGGGTTTCTCCAGTCTCCGTCAGGCCAGTAAGTCTAGTCCTTTTTTGTGAGTTAGAATTTTTGTTCTACATTTTTCTCCAGCTCTTTCCAGGACCCTCTACTGTGATCCCTGTCAGAGCAGTCGGCAATGGTAGCCAGTACATTTAGTTGTACTGCACTCAGTCTGGTGGAGGCCATGGTAGTTGTGGTCCATTAGTCCTTTGGACTAATCTTTCCCTTGTGTCTTTAATTTTCTTCATTCTCCCTTGCTCTCAAAGCGGTGAGACCAGTGAAGTATCTTAGATGGCCACTCACAGGCTTTTAAGACCCCAGACGCTACTCACCAAAGTAGAATGTAGAACGTTTTCTTTATAAACTATGTTATGCCAGTTGAGCTAGATGTTCCCCGAGATCACGGTGCCCACAGCCCACAGCCCAGTAATTCGATCCCTCAGGGGGTCTGGATGTGGCTATGGAGCTTACATGACCTTGCCTTGTACAAGTTATGCTGCCTTCCCTAGTATTATGTACTGTCTTACCCTTCACCAAAGTTACCACTTATCTATTGTCTATTTAGTGTTTTTCCATCCACACCCCTCCCCTCCCTTGTAAACATCAAAGATTGTTTCTTTTTGTGTGTAGACCTTTTCATGAGTTTTTATAGTAGTGGTCTCATACCATATTTGTCTTTTTGTGACTGACTGATTTCACGCAGCACAATGCCCTCCAGATTCATCCATGTTGTGAGATGCTTCGCAGATTCATCATTGTTCTTTGTCGTTAGGTAGTACTCCATTGTGTGTATGTACCATAATTTGTTTATACATTCATCTATTGATGTGCATCTAGGTTGTTTCCATCTTTTTGCTATTGTAAACAATGCTGCAATGAACATGGCTGTGCATATGTCTATTCGTGTGATGGCTCTTATTTCTCTAGGATATATGCCTAGGAGTGGGATTACTGGATCATATGGTATTTCTATTTCTAGCTTTCTAAGGAGGCACCATATCCTTTTCCAAAATGGTTGTACCATTTTGCATTCCCACCAGCAGTGCATAAGAGCTCCAATCTCCCTGCAGCCTCTCCAACATTTGTTATTTTCTGTTCTTTTGATTTGTGCCAGTAATGCCGAGGTGAGATGGTATCTAATTGTGGTTTTGATTTGCATTTCTCTAATGGCTAGTGATCATGAGCATTTCCTCATGTGTCTGTTAGCTGCTTGAATGTCTTGTTTGGTGAAGTGTCTGTTCATTTCCTTTGCCCATTTTTTAATTGGATTATTTGTCTTTTTGTAATAGAAGTGTTAGATTTTCATGTAGATTTTAGAGATTAGACCTTTGTCAGATTCGTCGTAGCCAAAAATTTTTTCCCAATCTGTAGGTTCTTGTTTTACTCTTTTGGTGAAGTCTTTTAAAGAGCATAAGTGTTTAATTTTTAGAAGATCCCAGTTATCTAGCTTATCTTCTGGAGTTAGTGTGTTGTTAGTTATGGTTTATATCCTGTTAATGTTGTGTATTAAGGCCTCTGGCATTGATCCTATTTTTTCTTCTATAATCTTTATAGTTTTTAGTTTTATATTTAGGTCTTTGATCCATTTTGAATTAGTTTTTGTGTATGGCGTGAGGTATGGGTCTTGTTTCATTTTTTTTTTCCAGATGGACATCTAGTTTTACCAGCACCATTTGTTAAAAAGACCGTCTTTTCCCCATTTGATGGACTTTTGGGCCCTTGTCAAAGATGAGGTGACCATTGGTGGATGGATTTACATCTATCTGGGTTCTCAATTCTGTTCCACTGGTCAATGTTTTTGTCATTGCACCAGTACCAGACTGTTTTGACTATCGTAGCTGTATAGTAGGTTCTGAGGTCAGGTAGTCCAAGTTCCTCCCAGTTTATTCTTCTTCAATAGTGCTTTACTTATCTGGGGCCTCTTCCTTTTCCATAAAAAGTCTTGATAGAAGGTGAGAGAGAGAAGGAGTTATCAAAAATGACTATGGGGTTTTGAACCTAGGAAGAATTGCTGTGCCACTGACAGAAACAGGGAAGTCTGGAGAAAGAGCTAAATTGGCAAGAGGGTTGGAAGGAAGATAGATTTGGGATATTTTACTATTATTAAAGCAATCCATTCTCCATTGTGGGAAAATTAGAAAATACAAATGAGCAGATAGAAAAACTATTCATCGTCCTATCATCCAGAAACAACTAATAACATTTTTGGGTGTTACAGAGGTTGATTAACATTTTTGCTGATGTATTTTGCTTGGCCAAGCCCTGATATATATCTTTCTAGAAAGTTCTCTCTCTATATATAGATTTATATAGTTTATTTTTCCTTTTGAGAGTCCCTGGTGGCACAGTAGTTAAGTGCTCAGATGCCAACTGAAAAGTCGGTGGGTCAAAACCTACCAACCATTCCACAGGTGAAAAATGTGGCAGTCTGCTTCTGTAAAGATTACAGCCTTGGAAACTCTATGAGGCAGTTCTACTCTGTCCTATAGGATCGCTATGAGTCAGAATCGACTCAATGGCAATGGGTTTGGTTTAAGTAGGGCAAACGATTAAGCGCTCAACTACTAGCAGAAAGATTGGTTGTTCAAACCCACCCAGAGGCACCTCAGGAGAAAGGCCTGGCAATCTGCTTCTGAAAGATCAGAGCCTTGAAAACCCTATGGGGTGCGGTTCTACTCTGACACACATGGGGTTGCCATGAGTTGGAATCTAACAGGATGGCAACTAACAATAATAACATTTCTTTCACATAAATGGAATCATTTGAGTTTGCTTTTAACCATACTGAGTGAGACATCCATATAGAGATGTCCAGAAGGCAATCAGAAGTGCAGGGCTCAATTAAAATGGTTTCTCTCTGTCACTTGACTCAGCAAAGCCATCTTCTGGGTCTTGGCTCCATTCTCAGGTCCTTCCCTCATGGTGACAAGAGAGGTACAGCAGCTCCAGACCTTATACTCTCTCTTATTTCTTCTAACTCTTCCCTAACAATCTCATCTGCCTCTTTGGTTTTAAATGTGTTAATTCCTAAATGTATTATCCAACTCCAACCTTGCCCCTGAAATCCAGACCCACATACCAACTGCCTACTTGATAGTTCCACTTCAAAGTCTAGTTAAAAAACCAAACTCATTGCTGTCAAGCTGATTCCAACTCGTAGCCACCTTATAGGACAGAGTGGAACTTCCCCATATGGTTTCCTAGACTGTAACTCTTTACAGAAGCAGGCTGCCACATCTTTCTCCCACATCAAAGTCTAATAGGCACCTCAAACTTTACTATATTAAGTATACTTGGTGTCTTAGGCTGGGTTATCTAGAGAAGCAAAACCAGTAAAGCGTATAAATATATAGAGAGAGATATTTATATCAAGGAAATGGCTCACATGATTGTAGAGGCTGGAACGTCCCAAGTCTGTGGATCTGGATAGAGGCTTCTCTCGATTCACATACCTGCAGGGGCTGGCAAACCCGACATCAGCAGATTGGAGAGCAGGGC